GAGGCCAACATGTGGCTAAAACCTTTATGTGAAAACAGTGATTTGGCATTCTCGCTGAGGCCTCTGGGAGCATCTGGTGTGCCTCTGGGGGGTCTCTTAGGACTTCTTTGGGGTTTCTTGGGCGCCTCCTAGGACTCCTGTGGGCCTCTTGGGTGCCTCTTGGGGCCATTTTGGGGCCATCTCGGGACCTCTTGGGGCCTCCCAGGAGGCCAAAATGGGGCCAACACCCTGGTACAACCAATGATTGTGGTTTCCTCGCCGAGGCCGTTTTGGCATTCTCGCCGAGGCCTCTTGGAGCACCTTGGGTGCCCCTGGGGGGTCTCTTGGGGCCTCTTGAGGGTCACTTTGGGGCCTCTTGGGGGCCTCTTGGGGGCCTCTTGGGGTCATCTTGGGGCCATCCTGGGACTTCTTGGGGCCTCCTTGTCGCTTCTTGGGGCCATCTTGAAGGAGATCGATCAAAAAAGAGGGGAACATTAGTTAGCGTCCCCCCCAGGAGGCCACAATGGGGCCAACACCTCAAAACAAGTGATTTTGGCTTCCTCGCCGAGGCCGTTTTGGCATTCGCGCCGAGGCCTCTTGGAACACCTTGGGTGCGTCTGGGGGGTCTCTTGGGGTCTCCTGGGGGCCTCCTGGGGGCGTCTTGGAGGCCTCTTGGGGGCCATCTTGGGACCTCTTGGGGCCTCCTGGGCGCTTCTTGAGGCCATCTTGGAGGAGATCGATCAAAGAAGTGCGGAGCATGAATTAGCCTCGCCCCCCTAGGAGGCCAACATGGGGCCAAAACCCAAGTAAAATCAATGATTTTGGCTTCCTCGCGGCCCCCCCCCTCCAGGTCCATGGGGAGGGGGTAAGGGGAGGGGTCAAGACCCCTCCCCGCCCGCAAGCCGTCTCGCTCCCACCCGCCCTCCCAACACATACATAGCACCCAAGTTTGGCCCGAGCCTCAGCATATTCACCAGTCGTTTTTGGATGGGCAGCTACTGGGGCCAATCCGCCGCCGCCGCCGCCGCCTCCGCCGCCGCCGCCGCCGCCGCTGCCGCCGCCGCCGCCGCCGCCGCCGCCGCCGCCGCCGCCCGCCGCCGCCGCCGCCGCCGCCGCCGCCCCGCCGCCGCCGCCGCCCGCCGCCGCCGCCGCCGCCGCCGCCTCCCGCTGCCAAGCCGCCGCCGCAGCCGCTGCCGCCACCGCTACCGCCGCCGCCGCAGCCGCAGCCGCCGCCCCCGCCCCCGCCGCCGCCGCCGCCGCCGCCGCCGCCGCAGCCGCCGCCACCGCCGCCGCACCCGCCGCAGCCGCCGCCGCCGCCAAGTGTACTCTGTATGGTTTTTTGACAGGGATGGTGAGGGGTGGGGGCCGCATCGGGTTGGCTGCGCATGTTCCGAATTTGGAGGCAGAGTGTGTTTTGTATTGTTTTTTTTACAAGGGATGGTGGGGGGGGGTCGTCATGGACTCGGGTTGGCCCCCAGTCGCCTGGGGGTAGGGAACAGTGATAAACCCCTCCCCGAAAGGGAAGAAGGAGGGGTTGAAGAGGAAACACCCTAAATCACCGACGCCCAGAGGGCTGGTGGGATTGGATTGCGCAGATTCTCAACGATTCCCCTGGGATGCTGCGGGGGCCCTTCACGATTCTTTAGGGTTGCTTAACCTTCCGGGGAACCCTCCAGATGTTTGAAGATTCCTGAGGACTTATGGTTTCGGACGGATTCCTGCGACTTCCCCAGGATGCGCCAAGGTTGCGCGGGGGTCTTCAGGAATCCTCAGCAGGATTCCTGCCGATTTCTAAGGGTTCTTCAGTGTTCTAAGCAATTTTTGTTGGAGTCCATGTGGATCTGGATTTTTGGACGGGGCGTTCAAATCTTGGGCCCTGTAATATACCGCCCGGAAGTCTTGGGCCCTGGAGTCCTGCGGCGGGGAGTTGACGGCCCGCGCGCGCGCGGCCCTGGGCGGGCGCGCGTTTTGGGCGCAGTCCACGGGGAAACGCGCGACCCAGAGCGCGGGGCGCGCTTCGCCGCGCGGCGCGCGTCGGCGCGGCGCGCTCTTGTCGCGATCAGGCGAGGCCGAGTTTCCGTCGCGCGCGGCGGCGCGGCGCGGCGCGGCGCGTCGGTCGCGCGCCTGGGCGCGGCGTTCCCCCCCTTTTCGGATCGGCCGAGCTGGTGCTGCCGATCCCGCGACGCAGAGCGCGCGGGCGCGCGCGCCGGCGTTCTTGGCCGCGCCAGCGCGGCCGGGCCATCCTGTCTGGCGCGCGGGCGCGGCCGCGCCTGTTTCCTCAGACGCGCCGGCGCGGCGGGCGGCGTTCTGCAAGTCGCGCGGGCGCGGCCGCGCCGGCGATGCCAGGGGCGCCGGCGCGGCTTGGCCGAGCTCTGTCAAGTGCGCGGGCGCGCGCGGGCCGTCGCCCGCAGGGGTTGGCTGACTGGCGGTTGGCTGTTGGCTGACGTGTTTCGGTCCCGTGCTTTGCCAGACCTAGGGGTCTTGTGTCCGCCCTTGTGGCGGTGGTCCTTCATGAATTTCTCTTAGATATCTGGCTGCTTACTGCGCAGGGAGTGCAAAAGTCCACCTGACCGAGCGTTCTTCGCTTCTTTGTTGCCCACCAGCTTGGCCAGGCCAGCGATCGTGGAAGTATCAGCGATCTCGTACAAAGCACTTGCGTCCTCTAGCTCTTTCTCGCGCTTCTGCTCTTGAGCCCGGGTTTTGTGCAGAGACTTGTTCACCATTTGCGTAGCAGCGACGCTTCGCCAGATCCAGGAAGAGCTTCACCTGTTTGTTGAAGTATTCCCTTTCGGCCTGCCTGCAGTGGTGGCCCTGCCCTGCCCAGAAAGCGGCGAGCTCCGCATCCGCCTCTTGAGCAATCGATTAAAGTGGCATCTTGTTGCCTAGGAGTTTTATCAGTTTGTCAGTATGCGCGCTGACGAACTGCTGGCATGTTCTCGCGTGCATCTCCCGGAGCCGCTTCCAGGCTTTTCGCGCAGCTTTCTGACATGTCCTCTTGTTGTGCTCTCGACTCTCGTCTCGACTGGTAGCGGTGGCGGCTTGTAAGTGTTCTTTCGGCCAGTGCCATGTTTGCTTGCTATCCTCCCAGAACTTTGCATGCATGTCTTTCGCTGCGGCCGTTTTGATATCCTTACGCTGGAAGAAAATCGTGGGTGGATAAACCTCCTTCCCTGACACGTCGATTAGCGAATTGGCCGTTTTCGTTTCGCGAGAGGACTTCGCGGCCGTCATTTCTGCGGGTCCAGGTCCGTCGGTTTCAGTCCCAGGCCGTGTTCACCACTAAAGGGAGGCTTACTGAAGGGAGGTTTGTCCACCGCCGAGAAAAATGTCCATGCGTTTTTGAGACGCGACTTCAAATCTAGGGCCACGTGCCAAACCAACATCTAATTCCGGAATAATTTTATCGGGATTGCCAGCGTGGATTTGCTCAGTGCTGTCCGGGCTAACTCTGAATCTCGACGCATCCGTGGTTTCTTTGAGGACAGCTTGGTGCGCCTGGATCGTCTGAGCCAGCTGCTGGAGGGAGCCTCCGACAGCTTGCTGCACACCCATGCTGGCGGCAGCACCGCCGCTACTCGCTGCCGACGTTGACTCCCGCAAGACGGCCTCATGGGAGCGGAGGTTTTTCGCCAGGGCTTGGATGGAGGTCCCGATCACGTAGTTCAGACCGTTGATCTGCTGCTGTAGAGCGGAAAGTTGGCTCTCAAGAGGTCTCGCCAAATCTCGCGTAAGAAACACCAGGGCCGATTGGAATCCATCTGTTTTCGTCCCCCTTGGAGTGTGAGACCGTGGCCTCTGTCCGGGAGCGAGCAACTCTGGCCTCATGGTCTGGTGCCGACCCAGAGACAATATGAGGAAGTGGCCCTCAAATATATTGGTTTTCTCAGGATCGAGGCTACAAGTACGGTGGTTGCGACGCACGCCGCGCGAGGCGGCTTACGGGCCAACATTCTTTCCGTTCGGGTGCGCGTTGCGTTGATGCGTCCCCTCGCCATGGCATTGCTAACCACGACTCTGGTTGCTACATGCCTGCTTCGCAGACAGACCTGCGTGCCACCCGCAGGCGCGCCAGTGCTAGGAGACTGGTTCCTGAATTTATAATTTTGGCTGCTGCATTTTTAAACGTGGGTTTTTGAATTCGAAGGCTATGGAATTCAAACGATTTTTTTCGAGTTCAGATTTTCGAGTTCAATAACAGTGATATAATTCAGAAACCAGTTTTTTAGAATTCAGGATTTGAATCCACAAGTATTTAATTCAAATGCGTTCTCGGGAGTAAGCGTCGGAGATGAACCCGAGCCCGAAAATCGTAATGTTTCAATTTGAATATCTGATTTGAGGGTTTTTGTTTCGCGGATCGGCCCAACGTCCTACTGTCGGGTGCGCCCCAGATGGAAAGCCACACTGGAACATTTCCAGGGTGATTTTCCAGCTGGGGCCCCTTCCAATGCTAAGGGCGCTCTTGGGGATAAGCGGGGTGGTGGTGTACCTGAGCCCCCCAAGTCGCCATTTCCCAATTAGAATCTCTTATCGCGGAGCCTTTGCTCGAGGCTCGGCTCCCCAGCTCTATTCTCGGGAGCTCCCCAGATGGAAAGCAGCCCGGAAGTGTTCCAGGATGATTTTCCACCTGGGCACCCTAGTGGGCAGCCCAATCAGGCCTTCTGAAGTCCTTCTGCAAGGTCTCCCAAATGGGTCCCAGATGGAAAATCGCCATGGAACCGTTCCAGGATGTTTCTGTGCATGGAAACTGTGAGTGCCAGGGTGTCAGAATCACCCCAGGACCATTCCAAGTGAGTCTGGAACCTGAGACTGGGAAAATTGCCCCCCTGTTCCGCCCTCTGCGAATGCACCTTTGCGTCTGTCGCTCTCCCCTGCGCCCTTCGAGGGTGTACTGCAGTGAGGACGACGGCGCCGATGACGATCTAGACGAGGAGGAGGACGAGGCGGACGACGAGGACGTCCACGAAGACAGCGATGAGGATGACGACAAGAATGGGGGAGACGAGGACGAGATACCCGAGGCCGCCCTTCGACGCTATGAGCAGCCGGGTGCGGGGCATGTTGCGGGAGACGATCTGCAAGAGCCCCGACGACAGGCTGAGCTCGGCAGGACCTCCCCGCGGATTGGGAGGATGGGGGGATGATGCGGGCGGGAAGGAGAAATAGGAGCAGGAGGAAGGAAGAGAAACATTAAGCGAAAGAGGGGGAGGGGGGTGCGTTCGCGCAATATCTGACATCCTACCCCTCCCACCCATCCCTTCTAAGTGCGCTGTTGTTTTCTCGCTCCGCCGTCGGGCGTTGTAGCGGACCTGGAACTTTGAAGGGGACCCCATCGTGTTATGCACAATCAGAAGGGAGTTGCGTACAGAGGAGGAGGAGGAGGAGGAGGAGGAAGTGGCCGATGAGCAGGAGGATGAGCAGGAGGAGCATGGGGGAGGATGAGCATGACGAAGGAGGAGGACGAGGACGAACAGCAGCAACAGAAGCTGGAATGGAAGGAACGGGACAAATAGGAGGACCTGGGGAAGGCGGAGGAGGAAAAATAATGAGGGCCACAATTATTGACAAGGCATCCAGTGTCCCGCGCTGGGGCGGGAGCGTCTTTCTGAAAGACGGGAGCAACCTTCCAATTCGACATTGAGGCCCGCGCTGCAGTGGGAGCACTACTTTGAAACACAGGAAGCAATCGGCTTGTATAAAGAAACACAAGACAAATTAGCAGTTATCCAACCCTGCGAGTGAACACACTGCGCGGAGACGGTGATGCATCTTCCGAAGAGTCGTATTCATGTTGAGCAGCTTATTGTGGAGGGGAGAACGGTATTCGAGAGAGGGGGGGGAAGAGGGGAGGCGTGGAGAGAGGGCAACAGCGGGAGGTGCAAAAGTACGGGTGGAGAGGGAGGCGGGAGCGCGGGACGGAGAGGGGGGAGGACACGCTAGGCGCGCCAGCATCATATCTGGCATTCGCGCCTCCCACTCATCCCTTCACATGGCCCTGATGTTTTCTCAGTCCGCCGACGTGTCGTAGCGGACCTGAAATTCTCGAAAGGGTCCAGATCTTCTGATACACACTTGGAAAGAGGGAGTTGCGTAAATTAGAGGAGCCACTCTGAACGACGAGAGCAAAACGCCGATTCTAAAACTAGGCCCACGCTGCAGCGGCAGCACCATTTTGAAGGATGTGATGGACACCATGGGACATATTGTTATTTGTGTTCTGAGAGAAAAACAAGACGCGAAGTGGGGCGTACGATTTCCCGGCCATCTTCGGGGGAAAGAGGGGAGTCGGAGGTTGGGGGGTGAGATCGCAGTGAAACGGAGACCCCCCACCGGGAAATCGGTTTCGGTTTCGTGTTCGTGTCGTGCGTGCGGGCGAGGCGAAGCTGCGCGTGATCCTCCTGTAGCTAGGCCGAAGTAGGAGCGAAAGTCCGTGCGCCCGTCCGCCGGTGGCTGCGACTGGGCCCGCGGTGTCCCGCCGGTGTCCCGTGGTGTCCCGTGGTGTCCCGTCCGCCAGTGGCTGGGACTGGGCCCGCGGTGTCCCCGCGGTGTCCCGTGGTGTCCCGTGGTGTCCCGTTGGGTGAGATCGATAGTGAGATCGATACTGAGATCGATGTGGTGCCCCGAGGTGTCCCGTGGTGTCCCGTTGAGTGAGATCGATAGTGAGATCGACAAGTGTCCCGTGGTGTCCCGTTGAGTGAGATCGATAGTGAGATCGATACTGAGATCGATGTGGTGCCCCGAGGTGTCCCGTGATGTCCGGTGGTGTCCCGCTGAGTGAGATCGATAGTGAGATCCATAGTGAGATCGACAGGTGTCCCGTGGTGTCCCGTGGTGTCCCGTTGAGTGAGATCGATTGTGAGATCGATCGTGAGATCGATAGTAAGATCGATGTGGTGTCCCGTGGTGGCCCATGGTGTCCCGTGGTGTCCCGTTGAGTGAGATCGATAGTGAGATCGACAAGTGTCCCGTGTGGTGTTCCATTGAGTGAGATCGATAGTGAGATCGATCGAGTCAGATGTTGGTTCCCCCCCTTTCCCCCCTCTCCACAACCTCCTTATCACCCGGAGGGTGGTCGTATAGGTAGTATTGAAATTGAGTCATTGTGGAGAAGCAGGATGAAGGGGGAACAAGGCGGATGCGGACGAGGAGGAGGATGAGGGAGGAGGGAGGAGGGCGGTGAGGAGCAGGTGAAGGAGGTCGACGAGGTGGATGTTTGTGTTGATGATCATGTTGCGGATGATGATAATGACGGTGATGGTGATCATGTTGGTGTTGTTGATGGCGATGATGATGGTGGTGGTGGTGATGTTGATGATGTTGGTGCTCCTGATTCTTCTGTTGGCGTTGGCCCCGAAGCCCGCAGGCTGCCGCCAACACGGCCGCCCTGTGCGTTTGGGCCGCCTGGCGCTGTGTCGCGAGTTCGAGCCATTACTGTCCGAGCCAAATTGTGACAGGGGAAGGGGAAAGGTAAGACTAGCAAGAACAGAGGCAGGAGCATGAACAGGAGCAGGACGACCGTCGACGGGGCACTTCGTGCTGCTATTGGGGACGCAGGTGTGGTGTCCCTCTTGGGGCATCGTTGCGCATCTGTGTGCTCTCTTGATGTCTTCAAAGTAGGCCTCTTGAGGTCGAACCTCGCGGGACCCACCGTTGTCTTTGGGTGCCCCTTCGCAGATTCTTGGGGCAATTCAGAGCCTTCTTGAAATGTTATGGGGTACATATTGGGCCCAGATTTTGCGATGATTTGGGGACACCCTTTGGGCAAGTTTTGGTTCTCTCGGGCTCCCGTTTGGGCCGTGTTGGGCATGTGGTAGAGGAAACGAGAATCCGAAGATAGTTGGGCACGACTTGTTTCGGTGAGTTGTGGATATCGTGGCTTTCCTTGGGAGGCTCTGGAACCGCCTTTGGGTCATCGTGGGGGCATGCCGGGACCTCTTCAGGGTCAATTTGGAGACCCAGTGAAGGCCGCTTCATAACATCTCACGCACTTTGGGGCCATCTTGGGCCATTTGGGCGCCTTCTTGAGGCATCCTGTGGTTCGTTGAAGCCCTGGTTTGGGAGCTCTTTTTGAAAGCCATCTTGAAGCGAAATTTGGCTCTATTGGGCTGCTCTATTGGCCCTGTTGGGTCCGTCGTGGGGCCATTGTGAGGTCACCTTACGGCTTATCCGTCCTGTCTGTTGCCGACAGGACGAGACGGCCAACAGCAGAGCTCGTTCCAATGTGGGCTAGTCGACCATTTCGTAGGCTCTTGGGTTCCTATTTTTGCCAGTTGGCGCTCTACTTGGCCTCTCGCGGAGCCGTTTTGGGCCCGCTGCCGGGCCATCTTGTTTCTGAGGCTCGTCCGCGACCGAGAAAGCGAGAATGCAGAACACATCGAACACATCACTTGCTTTGTCAGTGCTTTCAGCCTCTTCGGAGGCCTCCCTGGAAGGCCCTGGGGACTCTTGGAACCATCTGTGGCCGATCTCGAGGTCGTGAGTGGTCAACCTGGAGGCGTTGTATCTGGCCAGTCTGAGACCATGCATTTGGGGGGGCAATATTGAAACTGACCTTTGGAGCCCCTGGGGCAATATGGTGCCCCTCAGGCCCGTCCTGGGCCCATCTTGGATCCTGTCGCGGCGTGGCCTGACCGTTGGCCTGTGCTCTGTGGGCGCTCCTGGGCCCGGCTCGCCCCCCACCTCGTTCTCTGGGCTTCCCCTCCAGGGACTCCTTGCAAGCAGGCCTAGGGTGAGGATGGATCACTCCATAGCGTCTTGGAACACCTGGAACGCTCTTAGAGGATCTGGAGCGTCCAATCTTGTCCGCACCCTGCCCTCGTCTGGACTCCGTGACTGGGCCAGCCTCCCCCAGGAGCGGTGCTTCACCCCTGGCTGCAGGGCAGGGGCTCCGCGAGGCCGGACGGCGAGGGCGCCCAGCGGCAGGCGGGCGCCCAGCACGCCCCAGCGGCTTCGTCGGCGGCCCCGCCAGCGCCTGTCGCCCCAGGACCTGTCCGAGGAGGGGTCCCGAGATCCGGGCGTCTGTAATTTTTGGTTCCCCGGCCCTCGCGGATCGCTCCGACTCAGAGAATTCCGCAGGAGTGTATGGGCCTTACCCGGCTCCCTTCGTGGTTCTTGACGATGCCACATTCTTTTGGCGACGTCGGATCTCGAAGGGGAGGAGGGGGGGAGCGAGGAGGGCCCCAGGAGCCAAGACTTTGCAGACCAGGACTCCGCCCAGATCCAACGGGAGAGATCGAGGGAGTGTGGAAATGTTTCGGCACACGGATGCCAGCGCCCTGGTTTTGCAAGGTCCCCGCTTGCGAAGCTAAAGCGAGGCGGGAGAAGTTTGGGATGAGGAGGAGGGACGAGGAGGGGGTGAGAGGGAGTTGGAGGAGGTTGAGGAGGAGGAGGAGGAGGAGGAGGAGGAGGAGGAGGAGGAGGAGGACCGTAGCCATTTTGGCCCAATGCTCAAACCAGTTCCTGACATGCTCCCCCCAGGTGCATCTTCAGTACCACACGATTTGCGTTGTTACGAAGTAGCACCCCGCAATTACGGATAAGAGTGAGGGGGCGGGCGCGGGCGACGCGGGCGTCGTCGTGCCGGCGGATCTCGTGGCCCCCACCTTCCCTGTCGATGGCGCTCTCCTCCTCCTAACCCGATCTTTAGATGCATATCTTTGTGACGTCCAGAGCAGGAGAGGGCCGTCCGTTCCCATCCTGGCTCAAGCTGATCATGCGCCCGAGCTTTGCAGCATCGACCGCAATAGCCTGGCTGGCAGCGTGGTGCTCGTGCGGCGGCCTCGAGAGGGCCTGGCGGCGCGAGGAGGCAGCAGTTCAGCGCTGCCCCGACCTCTACTGCGCGGAGGTCCCTCCGTGCCCGGGGCAGCCGTGCCCCGAGCCGCTGGCGTGCCCGGCTCAGCAGTGCCCGGCGGCGCCGGAGGTGCACTGCCCCTCCTGTTGCTCGGACGAGCGGGAGGCGCCGCCGCGGGCCGCTGGCAACGCGAGCTCGCCGGAGGGGAGCCCTCCTCAGGCCGCGCCTCGGCGCGCCCCGCCAGCCTCTGCGCCGGAGGGCTTGGCAGCGGCGGGGAGCGCGGCAGGGTGGCTCGCCGGCGCCGCCGTGGAGCTGATGGGAGGCAGCGTGGGGTCTGGACGCCCGAAATGGGTACTGAAAGAATGGGCACAATGCCCAACAACAACTCCTGTTCATTTTGAACGGGATTCGCTGTCCACGCCGCCGCGGCCTGTGTCCATTCGAGACAGAAGGCCGCCTGCCCAACAGCGGCCGCTGTTGGCTTGGGACAACATTTGGTGTTGGGCATCGTGCCCATTCTTTCCGTACCCATTTCGGGCGTCCAAATGGGGGTGTTCTGCCACGCCGCGCTGGTCGTCGCGGGCGTCTGCGCTCGGGTTTGCTGGAGGGGGCGACTGGAACAAGCTCGGCCTGCTCCTCGGGCTCTTCGCGGTGGCGCAGGTGGTCCAGGAGTGGGCGTGGGTGCAGTACGCAGGAGCGCCCCTCTTCCACCAACGACACGTGGAGGGAGTCTTCGCGGGTACTCCAGCGGCAGCGATTGAAGTTGTGGTCACCACGCCCGATGGTGACGTGTACTGCGAGACGTATGAAGGCATAGACCACAACATCGCGGCCGTGCGCTGGAGTGGTGTACGTCGACCGCCTCCTCCAGGTGTGCCGCGGGACTCGTATCGGTTCAGGAGGAAGATCACCCCAGCGGAGAGCATGGAGTTCCAACGGCTGGCGAGGATAGCTGCTCGGGACGAGTTCGTGGCAAGAGATCGTCGTCATGGTGGGCCAGGCGTGGAGCCCGCTGGAGGCGCGCTGCTGCCGCTGGCCGCCGACGTGGCGCGTGCGCCGATCCCGCCGTCACGCTTCCCAGGCGAGGGAGACGGCGGGCCGCTCCCAGTTGGGGGCGGCGGTCCGTTGCGGGCGGCCGCTGCCGCGGGTGTCGGCGCCGGTGCTGGACTTGCGGCGGGAGGCGCCGCTGCGGCCGGCCCCGCCGCGCCACTCCCTCCCGACGACGAGCTCGTGTGGGTGGTCACACGGAGACGCAACACGGGCTGAAGCGCGGGTCGGCGGTCTTCCCAGGAGCGGGGATGCCGAGCTTGGGGGGCGCTGGCCTGTACCAGGTGCCGGGGGCGGCCCCTGGTCCTCGCTGGCCGACAGCTGTGCTGGCGCGGCGCATGAAGTACGGCGATGTGTCGAGGTACCCGCGGGTAGAGTTCAACGACGACGCGCGCGTGCTGCCGGTGGAGCTGCTGGGCGACAGGCGCCAGATGCTGACCTGGCGGCACGCGGTGGAGCGGCCCTCGGTGACGCCCTTCGCCGACTGGCCTATCCAGGGGCCGCGGACCGTGGAGTGGGTGATGAGGTTCCTTGACCGACGAGGGGGTGGGCCTGGCGATCATCATGCTTGGTGGCGACAGGTCAATCGGCTCCAGCGCGGGGACTGGGGCGTCGACATCCACGAGAACGGTTTGCGCGCGCTGGAGATGGCCGCGAGCTACGACAATTTGGAGCTGGCCAACCTTGCGAGCCTGGGGGTGATCGCTCGGGAGTGCCAGCTCGTGGAGTACGCCTACTCCCGCGAGCCCATCGGCGGGCCTGTGGCCGAGTTGGGCGACAAGCACGGCAAGAAGGACCAGAAGGGCACGGGCCGCCCCCGCGCGGGCCTGCTCGACGAGAGCGACGTCTTCATGAGACGATGGTGTCGCCCGACTTGCTGGACTTCGTGGCGAGAGAGGTGGAGCGCGACGCGAGCGTGCTCAAACAAGTTCGCAAGGCACGGGAGGGACGCCGTGCCTTGCGAGGAGATGGCGCATGAGAAGGACCCGCCGGACTTCGGGCCCGGGTCTGGCGGGAACTACAGGGCCCACGAATTCGAGCAGTCACCTGGGCGCGTGCATCACAGACAGCGTGACCTTTTTCCCCTACCTCGACTTCCGGAGGCTGCCCCTCGAGCGCAGGGCCCCCCACCCCCCCGCCCCCGTGCATGCCGCGCGACAAAGGGACGGGCGCTGCGTCAGGCGGCGATAGACGCGGCCATTGACGAGCTCGTCGACACCCTGAGCGACATGCACAGGGCCCCCCGCGGCGGGTCTCCCCGCGCGGCTTCGAGACCGACGTTGGCGCAAAGACTCGCCCTGGATCACCTGCGCCAGCGCGTGGTGGACGCGGGGCCGCCTCTCGAGGACCTCGACGGACCAGGGGCCTTCGACGAGCTCCGGCCCAAGCTGGCCTACCCTTGCTAGCCCCTCTTCGTGTGGACCTACTTCACTGCTTCCTCTTGGTTTTCACCCTGTGACGCTCAGCGAGGCGGCGGGCCCTGCAGGCGAGTTGATCGAGAAGAGGCTTCTAGATAAGGTGCTTCCCGGTGTGGAGGGGGGGGGCGAGACTGAAGCAACTCGGCTTGCGTCGGGCATGCTCTGACCCCGCCCTGCGCAGTCGCAAGGTGCACATCGAGTTTTTGAAGCGGCTCCGCGCCGCGAACTTGCTCGACTTCAGTCTCAGTGTTCGTCGTCGGGTAGGATGCTTCAGCGCGTGGAAGAAGTCGGGCGCCCAGCGGCTGGCGCTCGTTGCCAGGATCCCGAACTGCTTCTTCGAGGAACCCGACCCTGTGCAGCTGGCGAGCGGGGCGTGCTTCGCCAACCTCCAGTTGGACGCGGGGCCTCCGCTGGTGCTGGGCGGCGCCGACATCAAGGTGGCCTTCTACGCCGTCGCGATGCCCGAGGAGCTGCGGCACCTTTTCGGCTTCGAGCCCATCAAGGCGTGGGAGCTCGGGGTGACGCGCGTGGGCGGGGAGGCCGTGGAGCCGGGCGACCGCGTCTTCCCGGTGATCGCGGCGCTGCCCATGGGCTGGGTGCTGGCGCTGCAGGCCTTCCAGTCCTTGCACGAGCTGCTGGCGCGTCGCGAGCCCGACGTGGACGAGCACAACGCGCTGGTGGATGGGCGACCGCCTCCTGGGCTCGAGCCGATCGCCCACACGGAGTGCGTGGACAACTTCGCGCGCTTCGGGAGGGGCCCCGCGGTCGTGAGGGACGTCGTCGCCCGGGTGCGCGGGCGCCTGGTCGCCGCGGGGCCCCCGACGCACGAGGCCCAGGGGAGCGTCGGCGGCGATGCCCTCGGCTGGCACTTCACCGAGGGCGGCCGCTGCTCGATGTCGCTGCGCACGGCGCGGCGGCTTCGGCAGGCGCCCCTGCGCGTCGTGAAGCTGGGCCGGGCGAGCGGGCGCGAGATGTCAGCGCTGCTTGGTCACTTCACCACGCGGGGGCTGATCCGACGCGAGGTGCTCTCGGCATCCCAGGCTTGCTTCGCCTTCGCTCAGCAATTCAAGTCTGGGCGGGGCCAGCTCTGGCCCTCAGTGCGTCGGGAGCTTCGCTGGATGGCCTCGCCCGTCTTCGTCGCTGCTCGAGAGCTGGGCGCCCCCTGGTGTTCGAGAGCTCGCGTCTTCGATGCGTCGGAGTGGGGGTGCGGGGTGATGAGTAAGACGATCGACACGAGGGACGTGCAAATCATCGGCTCGTATAGCGATAGGTGGCGATTCCAGAAGTCGGGAGAGCAAGAGCAATGTCACGATCCTCGGGGCGATCTTCATCGGGGCGAAGTTGGTGGTTCCGATCGGGCACCTCCTGATCCGGAACACGTCTGCGGGGGGGGGACTGGTGCCGAGTCGCTTCCTTCCGATGGGCCTCTGGAGATCACCAAGTTCACCTCGAGTCTCTATCGGCGACCTGGACTCTCAACCACCTGGCCAGGACGTCCTCGTTTCACAGCAAGCGCCACCTCATCCTCGGAGATGCCATGGCCGTGATCCTTTCGCGGACCAACGGCCGAGGCGCCTCTTCCGGGCTCTGCCGGGCCCTCCGGCGGTCCGCCGCCTTTGCGCTGGCCGCCAACCTGTACCCCGCGTGGCGATGGCTACCCGCTGAGTGGGGCGCGGCCGACGCGGCCTCGCGCGGGCGCCGGAGCACCTGCGCTGGAGACTGGAGCCCGGGGGCCGCGCCTGCGCCGCCGCCTCGCCGAGGCGCGCATGCTGGCGCGCGGGGCGGGTGCCCGACGGGTCGCAGACGCTTTCCCCTCGCCGAGCCGCCCTGCCCTGAGGTCGAGGACCTCGTCCGCGGGTGCGGCGTCGACGACGGCCGCGACGAGCTCGCTGGGGACCTACGCTTCAACGGACGCGTTCCCAGGCGCAGGGGCGCGGCGCCCGCGCCCGCCCCGCCAGGCCCGCGTGGTCCGAGAGGTCGGGCTCGGGCGAGCGGCGCGCGGAGCGGCCCGCCGGGCGGCCCACCCGCCAGCGCCGCGGGCGAGAGCTGCCCAGGGTCAGCGGACCGTGCTGGAGCGTCGGTCGGCGCCCGCGCGGCAGGAGAGCGAGCACCGGGGCCAATGCGACAGGATCCTGATTTGGGCAAAGCAGCAACGGCTCAGGACGAGCCGCCTGGAGGATCTAGAGGCGACGTTGGTGGAGATGCTGAACCAGATGTTCTACGACGGCTGGAGGTCCAACACGGCCTCCAAGATGGCGGCAGCGGTGGCGTACTTCCGCCCCGAGGCTGGGCCAGGCTGCTCGAGCCTCGCTCGAGTGCAGCTGGCCCGCTGGCGCCTCGACCCGCCGCCGGCCAGGCTGCCGCTGCCGTGGGCTGCGGCCTGCCTAGTGGCGCGGCGGCTGGCGCAGGGCGGGAGCTGGCACATGGCCGCCGCCGTCCTCTTCGCCTTCATCCACTGCTTGAGGCCATGCGAGCTGCTCCGCCTACGGGAGTGCGACCTGGCGCCGCCTCCGCGACAGTCCCGCCAGCGAGGGCGCAGGTGGAGCGTGATCCTCCACCCCCAGGAGCTCGCCATCACCTCGAAGACGGGCGCCCGCGACGAGACGGTGCTCGTCGACAACGGAGGAGTTCGTTCTTGGAGAGGCCCCTCGCCCGGCTGCGCGGCAGCGGCGGCGTGCAGTTCGTCTTCCCCTTCAGCTACCGCGAGTGGGCGAAGGGCTTCGAGGCGGCCTCGACCGCCGTCGGCCTGGTCGGGGACTCGCTGCCGGTGCTCTACATGCCGAGGCACGGGGGGGCCTCCCACGACGCCGCGGCGGGCGCGCGGGGGTTCCGCGACATTCAGGACCGAGGTCGGTGGATGACGGGGCGGTCCGTAGTCAGGTACAAGCAAGGAGGGCGAGCGAACTAGCTGCTCCAGGGGCTGCCCGAGGCGGTGCGCCGCGCCGCCGACAGCGCCGTGCAGAACATTTCCGCGTGGCTCCTGCGGAGCTGAGTCGTCGCTGGAGGGCTTCGGCATTCCCGGGGGGGGTCGCTGTTGAGCTTTTCTCGGGTTCTGGCCAACTGAGCGCGGCCTGGAGGCAGCATCCCAGGCTTCGAGGCATCCCGATCTTTGAATTCGATTTCAAGTTCGGTCCTGAGCATGACCTCTCTCATCGGAGCTTCCAGAGGTTTCTGCGCTCCAGGCTCCTGGAAGGAACCCTGCGGGCCGTCTGGGTCGGACCCCCGTGCTATATTTTCAGCACTGCTCGTAACCGGCCTAACGGGCCAGCAACCCTTCGGAATGCCTCTTTTTCCCTTGGGAGTGCCAGGGCTCAAGCCCTGGGGCGAGAAAGCCGTCAGAACGGGAAACGCTCACGCCTCGTTTTGTGGTGGGCTTTTGAAGTTGGCACGTTGGTCTGGGGTTCCGCTCGTGATCGAGAATCCTGGCCAGAGCTGGGTGTAGAGTCACCCCGCCCTGTCTCTGCCTTCCCCGCCCTCGTCGTCGCATCCCCTCCTCCTTTTGATTTTTACACCGACTTTTGCATGGGCGGGGCCGCCTGGAGAAAGCGCACCCGTTTCAGAGCTGTGAATGTCGACCTCGGCCCCGCGGTGAAACATTGTCGTGGCCGCGGAGCGTGTGCGCGGTCAAATATTCCACGCGTGCAGCTCGAGGGCAAAGACCCCCGCGGTGCATTCTACACTAAGACCGCCGAAGCGTACCCTCGTCAATTGTGCAGGCGCGTGGTGCAGAGGTTCTCCGTTGCCCTCCTCGCCCAGCACTCTCGCAATTTCCGCGCATATTTTGAGTAACGCAGTCGGCCGAACAAGTCGGCCATGATAGCCAATGTGGTCTATTTCCTGGTTATGGGTGTGTGTGTGTATAGCCCGAAATTTACTCCCGAATAATATTATCGGGTTGCGTCGCCGACCTCAGAGCACGCGTTCACCTTTCACACAGATAATCCGTGGCCCTCGGCAACGTTGCACGGAAAAGAAGATAGCCCGATCTTTAGATGCATATCTTTGTGACGTTCAGAGCAGGAGAGGGCTGTCCGTTCCCATCCTGGCTCAAGCTTCCTGCTTCGCTTCTCTCCTTCCCCACTTTCACCAGTCAGGGTGTGTGTGTATGGCCCGAAATTTATTCCCGAATAATATTCTCGGGTTGTGTCGCCGTCCTTGGAGCACGCGTTCACTTTTCACACAGGTAATCCGTGGCCCTCGGCAGCGTTGCGCGGGAAAGAAGATCCTCCTCCTCCTCCTCCTCCTCCTCCTCTTCCTCGTCCTCGTCCTCGTCGCCATCGTCATCGTCATCTTCCTCCACCTCGTCCTCCTCCTCTACTTCCTCGTCCCCCCTCTCCCCCCCTCGCCCTTCCATCGTCGTCCTCCCATTGTCGTCCACTCCTCTCATCGGCCTCCATCATCGTCCTCCCATTGCCGTCCATCATCATCCTCCTCCCCCTCCTCCCCCTCGTCGTCCTCTTCCTCCCCCTCCTCCCCCTCCTCGTCCTCCTGCTGCTCCTCCTCCTCCTCCTTCTCCTCCTCCTCTTTCTCCACATTCTCCGTACATCCTCTCTTCTTTCGCGTCCTCCTCGTACCCTGTTTACTCCTCCTGCCTCCCCCTTCTTTCCCAAGATAGCGGCAACGCAATTTTTGTCCCACTTTATGCTCCCCGGCTTCTGTGATCAAGGCAGCTCGCCAGGGCAAAGTTGCTGGGCGGGCTGGTGTGGATGCGCGGCGCATGAAGAGGTCGTTGCGGGCTCAGACGGCATGCGAAAATCCACCGCCGCGCTTGCGCGGCATTGGTTTGTTCAGTGAACGTGGTTTGGGTCGCGGGCTGGAAGGGATGCAAAAGCAGCCCGCCGCAGGCGCCGAAAAAATTGGTTTGTACACTGAACGTGGAATGGGTCGCGGGTGGGCCTCGGGTTCTCCACCGGGAACGAATGCAAAAAATGCCCGCCGAAGGCCTCGAAATATTTTGTTTGTACCCTGAACGTGGTCGCGGGTGGGCCGCGGGCCCCCCACCTGAAACGAATGCAAAATATGCCCGCCGCGGGCGCCGAAACATGTGGCTTGTACCCTGTGCGTGGTTTGGGTCGCGCGTTGGTCGCCGGGCGAATCGAGGGCTCTCCACCTGGAAGGAATGCCAAAAAACCCGCCGCAGGCGCCGAACATGGTGGTTTGTACCTTGAACGTGGTTTGGGTCGAAGGTGGGTCGCGGGTGGGTCCCGGGGTGGGTCGCGGGTGGGTCGCGGGTGGGTCGCCGATGAGGATGGACGCCGATGAGGGGGTGGACGAGAATTGAGGGACGGTGATGGAAGGACGAGGGGGGGAGGGAGGACGAGGAAGAAGAGGAGGAGGAGGACGAGGTGGAAGAGGAGGATGACGATGACGATGACGACGAGGACGGGGAAGAGGAGGAGGAGGAGGAGGAGGAGGAGGAGGAGGAAGAGGATGACGAGGAAGAAACGAAGGAGGACGAGGAGGAGGGGGTGGAGGAGAGCGCCATCGACATGTAAGGTGGGGGCCACGAGGTCCGCCGGCTCGACGACGCCCGCGTCGCCCGCGCCCGCCTCCTCACTCTTATCCGTAATTGCGGGGAGCTACGTACCTTGAACGTGGTTTGGGTCGAAGGTGGGTCGCGGGTGGGTCGCGGGGTAGGTCGCGGGTGGGTCGCGGGTGGGTCGCGGGTGGGTCGCAGGTGCGTCGCGGGTGGGTCGCGGGGTGGGTCGCGGGCGGGTCGCGGGGTGGGTCGCGGGTGGGTCGCGGGTGGGTCGCGGGTGGGTCGCGGGGTGGGTCGCGGGGTGGGTCGCGGGGTGGGTCGTGGGTGGGTCGCGGTTGGGTCGCGGGTGGGTCGCGGTGTGGGTCGCGGGGTGGTTCGCGGGTGGGTCGCGGGGCGGGTTGCGAGTGGGACGACGACAACAACAAACAACAACAACAACAACAACAACAACAACAACAACAACAACAACAGCAACAACAACAACCACAACCACAACCACAACCACAACAACAACTACAATTACAACAACAACAACAACAGCAGCAACATCAGCAACACCAACAACAACCAACAACAACAAACAAACAACAAACAACAAACAATAAACAACAAACAACAAACACACAACAAACAACAAACAACAAACAACAAACAAACAACAACGAGAATCCGCACCGCGGAATCCCACTTCAGCCACGCACCCAGGGACAGCGAATGACCGTTCGGCCCCCTCATTCTGATTTTTGAGGATCCACATGACGCGGTCTTTCAAAAAACGGCGACATCACGATGGAACGCAAACACATGAATGACTCACCATACAGCCAATCCAATTAGCAGTACACCGACGGTGGCAACGAGACAATACCACCATTACCCAGAACCCGCAGCAGCACAAACAGGCCATACCGACTACGTACCGCCAAGCCATTTACCTACGACCCCGACTGCGCTCAACCCACCACGAGGACATGCTGAACCTGACAAATAAGATTCGGTGACCAAGACGACATCGAGAAACACCATGTGTACATCTCATTACGGCTTGGCCACCAATACCTACTGGGCCAAAGCCGAAAGGGAGACACACACACACACACTACGACTGCATACCCACTAAACATCAACAATCACCAGTTCAACCGACTATGCGATGAACCCACCTCAACCCTCAACGGTTGGAAGTACTTACGCTCTCACTGCGACATAGCTCCACTGGTCACAACGGCCGGCGGAAATACCTTACTACAGGAAAGCCGACTACAGGCCCGACAATTAGCCGTTCATCGACGACGGAGAACAACACCGCAGCTCCTACCAAAAGGGTTTCGTTTATACACAGCACCTGGCAGGAGCTCGGCGACGACATCGACCACAACAGGGTCCGAGTGTACGCGTGCGTCAACGAGGACGGCACCGAGAAGAGCCTCAAAGAGACACTATACACAAATTACTACGACCAACAGAGCACAGAAATATACGAATTCCAAATGGACGAGGATTTCGCCATCCACGCGATGATCAAATACGAGGACGAAGACTACGAGAGGCGCACCTCGCATCTGCTCCATGACAGACACAAGCCACAACGTCGCCACGGGGACGGAACCACTACCAACTACCGAGCAGACGCGCGCCATGCATCAGGTGCTTCTACCTTTCGACCACCATGGGCAACATGCGTACTCGACAGGAGTCGAATACGCATCGCGCAACCGGTCACCGATCAGCAGCCCAACTACGTAGAACTCGAAGACGATGCAACGCACGAGTGTGACCTACTCAACCAAGTGGACGGCGCCGCCCGATTCAAACACGACTACCACGCAGGACCTGCACCTCCGACGCACTGCGAGCTCAAGGCACCCGCCAGAGACGACCCTAAATTACCGCAGATACTATGCTGCCTCATGCCCACACCCATCACGGAGCTGTACCCCAGCAAGCACATTATACGCGATTACAGCAAACCGACACACACACAAACACATCGTGGCTGAATTTTCCGTGGTCTTGCCACGCCCTCTAGGACCACAATTCACCCTGAAACATCCCAAGTACATCCAGACACGAGACGGGCTCCGATTGTGTATTGGCCTACCCCCTGACGACGAGCACCACGA